AATCGAACAGGGGAATCAAGCGAAAAATCAACTTCATGCTTTTTCAACAGATGGGTGATGACACATCCATATAGTAATGAAGTTGTGATAGATGCTCCATTTGTGACTATATAAACAATTGTCTTAAATATCAGTTCAGCAATGTTTGGAGCCGTTTTGGAGCTATATTTCGCTAACCACCAATAATCATAATCTCGAATAACGGAAAATTTCCCCCCAGAAGGCCGAATAAACCAAGTGAGCATTTTGTGAAACACTCTCGACTCTACATCTAGGTGAATTGGACTATTTCTGTCAACACGCTTTATTGTAGTATCTAAATCATTTTTATCTAAATCCCCTTTATTCTCAACACCTATACCGGCAGCAATAGAATCTGGAGATATATATATATATATATATATATATATCATTCCCCATGTCAATAACACATTCGGGAAAAATCTTCCTTACTTTGAAACTCCGATGCCATTTTTATTTCTCCTCATCGGCTCTAAAGTTGTTCGTATCAAACGACATGATTTGGTCAGAATCCCTTTGCTGAGAATATGAACTTGGTTGAGAAGAAGGTTGTCGTTGAGAATACTCGCACCTCTGACGTTTTGGAGCCATTTTTAGGTACGGATACTATTATATTGGAACAAAAAGACATTAAGGGAAAAAATAGTCCAATCCGTAAATCAATCAAACCCTAAGTTATGGTAAAATATCAATAATTTTATGTGAAGATCTGATCGTAATTATTTTGAACGCTAGTATTCGTCGAAGTGGAAGAGTTATCTTCTGTCTTTTGGGTTTAGGGTTTTCTATTTACGAGTTGCTTTTAAATTTTCTAAATCCTACCAACACACACTAATATCTCATTCATCATTTTTGATTTTTCTATAGGCATGCTTTAGGTAACTTCAATTTCCTTTCAAAGCTTCTCTTTTATTTTCCTTTTATTTTCGACAGTTACAAGTGTTCTTTGCTTTGATCTCCTTCTTCTTTGAACTAGTGTTATGAGGATGTGCCCAATGCTTGAGGTGGAATGTCCAATGTTTGTTCCTTCTTCTGATGATACATTTTTTGTTAGTTAATGCGAATGTAAAAACATGAAAAATAAAAACAAATGAAATGCAAGGTATGAAAATAATGCATGATGCATGAGAATTAGGGGCATTGATCCATAAATGTATATGTTATTATAAATAATCTTTATTGAGACAAAAGTGTTTTATTTTTTAAAGAGACAAAAATATCTTAAAGGTACATTCTGACTAAATCCTCTAAACCTTGAACGGCTTCTAATAGGTTGACAAGTCTTATTCCTTCATCTGTCACTGGTTGAATACCTTGTCGGACCACTCCCGCTTCCCTTACTAAACCGTGCAAGTGACAAGCTACTTTTTGTACTTGTTCTAGGAAATCTCGGATAATTGTATCTCTAGCTTTCAACCCTTTCTGGGCCTGTTCCCAACAAAAACGCCACTGAAATCCACCATCAAAAGAAACTATCTAAAACTCCTTTGCTTGTTTGAACCCATCTACAATGGCCTCCAACTCAGCTATGGTTTTGCCATCCTGTTTTTGTTGTCTTTGAAGGGACCTCTCCATGTCAGTAACCTTTTTTCTCATATACCTCTATAACCTTTGTCAACCAATTTTTAAAAAGTTGACTTTGATGACTTGGTGTAAGTCTAGTCCATTCTGATTCCTTCACAATACAATAGAGTGGTATATTCTTTGATTGTGGGCACCATGTCTTCTTGATTGAATGTGACACATGGTTGTCCTGCAGATTGTCTCCCTTTCCTTCTGAGTCTTTTCTGACCATAGCCGGACCTCTCCATTTTTCACCTCTTATATTACAACCCCTTTGACCATTAATGCAAACTATTTACATTTAACGAACACGTTTTTTGTGGATCAACACCACTTTTGAATGATGTAAATGATAAAAAATAAAATGAAAGGAAAGGAAAAATGAAAGGAAAAAAATTTAGTGAGATAAATATAATAATTAAAATAATAATGAAAACAAGTCCTACCCCACATGCTTGTTATTCCTACTCGGACATGATCTTTATCCCGTATGTTAATTTTGAACAAGTCCTAACCACATAAACTTCTAGTTCACATGCTCTGAACATAAAATAAAGCAGGAAATAACTCAAGACATACTAGGTTTTGAAATGAAGATTTGGGGTGGGCTCTAATTTCCTGTAATCTCCCAGTTTAGGTTCTAAAAAGGTACCCGAGTTCTCCTTGCTGGTGCCCCCTTGGGCTTTCCAGACCCTCCGTCCTAAGCCTATTACAAGTTTATGTGGCCCAAGTTAAACTCGAGATGATACATTCCCTTATGTCTATATGGAGAATAAATTCACATGAAGACACAAGGTATATGAATCCCGAAGGTTACTTGCTAGGCCTATACAAGGAATAAATTCCCACAATTTTATTTGAAAAAATAATCAAAGATAAATAATAAGAATCGAATAAATAAATTAAAATTTGTTATTTTTGCAAAAAAAGACAATCTGAAATTAATTATTGCCTGACTCCCTTACTTGTCCCCAGTAGAGTTCCCAAGCTATCGCGATTGTCTTTCGGGTGGGCCCAGAATTGGGCTTCGACTTGAATAAAACATGTTAGAGTCACCACCAATCATTTAAAAAATATTTAGGTTGATCGAACCCCATCTTACCTTATCTACGTTTTACCAGAAATACGTCAGATTCGGGAGTAGGTTACAGTCAAGGAAGGATTAGCACCCTTGAACTGTCATTTCAGTACCATTTTAATTTATTGGTTGACTTAATTGCAAAAAATAAAATTAAAAATAAAATTTAAAGACTCAATTTGAATTATTTACCTTTGATCGATTGAAATTACCTCTAAAAAGTTGAAAACGTTATATTATAAAATAAAAGAAATATCAAATAAAATTTAAATTTAAAAAAATAAATCAAAGAAGCAAATATTAAATTTTAAAAAAATGTTATATAAAAAAAGTTAAAAGAAAAAATAAAATAAATGAAGAAAATATTAAATTTCAGAAAAGAAAAATAATAAAATATGAAAAAAATGTAAAAAAGAAAAAAAGAAGTGGGAAAATAAAAATAAAACAAAATAAAAAAAGAAGTGTTAAATTTTAAAGAAAATACAATAAATAATAGTAGTAAAGATAAAAAGGGGTTTTTTTAAAAGTTGTTTATAAAATAAAAGATAAGAATTAAATAAAAGAAAATAATTAAATAAATAATATAAAGAGATTGAGATAAAGAGAAACTTATAGTGAAAGCAACCTTAGACTTCAGCTTTGCCTCAAATTCCTCGTATCATCGAAACAAATCTTTACTTCGAAATTCACGTCGACTTACAAGGACAATTCTTCGCTGCCAACTTGGATTGTGTTGTTTCAACAATAATTGATTACAATCTCAGTTTCTTCTTAGCAAACAATTTTGCTAAGTGTGTTCTTATGAAGTCGAATGTGCTTCAATAAGCCAATCCTTCTTACAATTCTCACATTTGGAATTGAGCCTTCGCTTTAGCCCTCGGCTTAAAAGAAATTTAGCTATGCATGACCAATGTCATACTTAGCATATTTGAAAACGAAGTTTAAAAGAAAATAAAGATGATATGCAAAAAATAGAGAGAAAGCTAGAGAGAAAAAGAAGATTTTATTCTCAGATGTATGTGTTTTTCTAGGCTTACCCTAAGAGGGTATTTGTAGCTTTCAAATTCCTAAAAACAAGCTAAAGATAATTCCTAAAATAACATCTTTTATCCTAATTAAAACACTTAAAACTATTTAAACCAAAATACCTAAAACAAAGATAAAATAAAATAATATTTAAAATAATATCCTAAATACTAACATCGATTTAAACTAAAATTCAAAGATAAAATATAATATTAATATATATACTAAATAAGCCCTGGACGAAAATAGGTGTCTACAAAAACTATTAACAAACGTTTTTTAATTAAAAGTCTTTTTTAGAGAAGTTTTAATATTGAAGTGATTTCTTAAATAACTCTCTTTAAACTTAGCATAAAATTTGAGTTAAATGATTCATGTTGTGAAAATGCTAAAATTATAAAGAGTTTTATATCTTACCGGACAATTGATTACATTAGACGTACGCACAATTCAAGTAATGAATATGAGAAAAACTTAAGTGTTTACTAAAGAATTTAAAGAGGACTATAAATTTGGAAGTTTTAGTTTATAACTACTAAAGTCATCAATAAATGTAATGAAGTATTTGTAACCTTTTCTAGCAATTGAAGTTAAAGAACCATATACATTTGTATGTATTAACTCATTGTCTCTTTCATTGTGTCCAGTAAAGGGATCTTTTGTTATCTCATCTAATAAACAAGATTCGCAAGTATCATGATTAAAAATCAAATGAATTTAAAAGTTTACCTTGATGAAGTTTTGAAATGTGTTTCTCATTTATATGGTATGACAATACCATAAATAGGTTGGATTTAAATCATTAGATTTAAATCTCTTATTACTTATGTTATATATCAAAGAATTCTTAAAGTTTTAAAGATTCAAAATATAAAGAATATGTATTATTCTTAACAATAAAAAAAATCACCATTACCTACTCTTAGGTCAACCTCGTCTTTTTCTGTCTATTCCTTTTGAACCTTTGCATATTTGTATAAATGTGGGATCCATATCAAATATCTAAAACCTAAGAATTTGTGGGAGAAAAAAATTAACATGTATAACCAATCCTCTTCTTTTTCTTTAGATCTTCCAAGTATAACTTGCAATTTCTTTTCCAATGAGGTAGGCAAAACGATTACAATTACCATAATTATTCTGTACACGGTGTTTGGAAAAAAAAATCACCTCTTACCCTCTCCACATCCACTTTTAAGAAACACATTCTATTTGAAATGTATGAATTCTAAATATATCTAGCAAGTATTTCATCTTCGGGTATAGAATTTGTAAGATTGGATTTTCGAAGAGCAATAGCTAATGGATGATTGATCTGATTCGAACAGCAATAGCATATATATGCAAAACTAAATAACATCAATTCAATCTTATCCATATAACTCTATAATTTATCTCTTTATCCAAATGCATACAGACCAAATTAATGGATAGTTTACATAGGCATACTCGAATCACAGCTTCTTTACCAAGAGATGGACTCCATTTTCTGGCTCTGTCACCAACCTTAGAACAGGAGAATGGGTGTAGTTGGGAGAAAGGGAGAAGGAGAAGTTGGACAAAAGGAGAGCTATTACTAGTTTCAGTTCAACCAGTGCCAAGTTCTGTCCCAGGCACATTCGTGGCCCGACCCCAAACGGCATGTACACTTGTGGCAGCTTACAAGCACCTGCTATCCCTTTTGCAAATCTATTCGGGTCGAATGTGTAGGCCTCTTTACCCCAGATTTCAGGGTCAGTGTGCAATGCCAACACCAGAAGCCAGATATTTACACCCTTGGGTACCAAAATCTCCCCGAACTTCATATCCTCCAACGCTTCCCTCGACACCACGGCTACCGGCGGATAAAGTCGTAACGATTCCTGAATCACCATTGTAAGCTGCATTACACAGAACAAGGATTCCGAGATTAGTTCCATAATCTAGTTAGTATCATTCTGTCATGTGTATAATGTACCTGTTTCATCTTGCGAAGCATGTCGGCATCCAGAGTACGACCCCTGCTGATTTCAAGAACCTCCTCTCGTACTATATGCTGCCATTCTTGATTGGCAGCCAAATGCATGAGGCACCAGGTGGCGGAAACAGCGGTAGTCTCGTATCCGGCCAAGTATATGTTCTTGCAGTTATCGACTATGAACCGCTCGGTGGCTTCTTGACTTAGATAGCTGTTTTTAGCGCCCTCGACCAGCATTTGCAGTAAGTCCTCCTCGTATGCTGCCATCTTTCTCTCTTTTACCACTTGCAGGATCAGATCACGTATATCCTTTTCTAGTGCCCAAGCTTCTCTGTTGCTTTTTGTGGGAAGATATCTGTAATAATCACTCAAAATTTTCAATAAAAATTAATTGTACAAGAAACAAAAATTGTACAAAATCGATAGGACTTGCAATTGCAAAAGAATTCCCACCTCATTCCGGGCACACCAGTGGATAAACTTTTCTTAGACATGGTCTCCTGTAAAGCTCTTAGCTTCAAGAAGATTTCTTCTCCCTTACAATAACTGCTTCCGAAACATGCTCTAGAGATGACATCTCCGGAGAAGCTCCGCATATACTCGTCGATTTTGATGTTGGCAAGTCCTCCCTCAGCCTCGATTTGGATCTTACAAGACTCGAGTACAGTAAATGTAGACTCGAAAATATGGTCCATCATTCCCTTAACCTTGTCCATGTATAATTCAGGAGCAAGAATTTTTCTCTGATGAGCCCATAGTGCCCCATTAGAAGTTAGAATTCCCTGACCGAGCAAAGTACCAAACTCTTTTTGCTGATAGGAAGGCTTCCCCAAGGCTAAGGACGTGCATGTTGTAATCTCTTTCACAACATCACGTTGATTCACAAACAATATTTGAGTGTTACCAAGAGAAAACATAAATACTTCACCTGAAATTTACTCCACCAATATCAGTGATTACATTTTTCTAATTTATATATGCATGTATGTAGTTACGTACAGGATTCAATATACAATTAAGAGGCATGCAAAATACGTACTGTACTGTTTCCTCCATTTCTCGAGGAAAGGAAAGAGAAGCGCAGCGCAGTTGTGTGTGGACGACGGGCTAGGATCCCTAACAACGGCGGATTGTGCCTTCTTAATCTCTCTTATGTTTCCGAAAAGCAGAGTCGGAGGCGGTCCTTTGATTCCTTGTTCACTTAATCTTGATCGAAGTTTCATCGGCTTCACCACCAACTCATGAAACAAACATAGGATCGATCCCAAGAAAGCAAGAGAAAGAAAAATGATGAGGAATTCCATATCTTAAAGTAGGGTTGGCTATGGCCTATGGGATTTGCAAAGGGAATTATATAGGGAAATTTAGGAAAGTGGTAGGAAGGTTTGGTCGTAAACTATAAAGCAAGACTTTTGAAGCATGGTGTTTCTGGTCCTTATGGTCAATGTAGAGGGACGTTATGCTGTAAGACGGTTAAAAAGGGCTAAAAATGGCATGATAAGTTAAACAAGTGATAGGTTAAAATCGATACCGGAAAATTTATATTATTTAACCGGAAATATCATTTGAGTTGGTAACAAAATCGGTAATAACCGGTTATGTTATCGTCCAATGTAAAATGCGCCAAAAAAATATACACGATAAAATAATCGGTTAATTACTTGAAACATTATCAAGCACAATAACATATTAGGTAGTGCTTATATAACGTAATAGGTAGCGCCTTTATAAAGTTGATGAGGCTTTAAAAATTCGACGATAACATAATCAGTTAATTACTGAAAACATTATCAAGCATAATAACATATTAGGTAGTGCTTATATAATGTAATAGGTAGCGTCTTTTTAAGCTGATGGGCCTTTGGAAATCCGATGATAACATAATCGGATAATTACTTATATTGTTATTAATATTATCAACATATTAGGTAACGCCTAAAATGTTATCAAAGTTTAAGTTGATAGAGCCTTAAAAATCCGACGATAACATAACCGGTTAATTACTGGAAACATTATCAAGCATAATAACATATTAGGTAGCGCTTATGTAACGTAATATGTAGCACATTTTTAAAGCGTTTGGGGCTTTAGAAATCCGATGATAACAAAATAGGTTAATTACTTAATTTGTTATTTTTATTATCAACATATTAGGTAACGCCTAAAATGTTACCACAATTTAAGTTGATAGAACCTTAGAAATCCGACGATAACATAACCAGTTAATTACTGGAAAAATTATCAAGCATAATAACATATTAGGTAGTGCTTATGTAATGTAATAGGTTGCACATTATTAAAACTGATGGTGCCTTAGAAATCCGACGATAACAAAATAGGTTATGTTATCAATATTATCAACTAAATATTAACAAAATTTAAGCTAATGGAGCCTTAGGAATCCGACGATAACATAACCGGTTAATCACTTGATTTGTTATCAAGCTTTATCAACATGGTAATTATTTACGCATATTATAATGATACCGATTAACTTTAACTGTTTTCATTGGAAATTAATCTATTACTTTAAAGTAATAGGTTTCAAAATTATAAGTATGTAATTTATATAAGCGCGTGTGTGTGAGTGAGTGGTGTGTGTGTGTCGATACATTTTACGTGCAGATTGTTTGATCCTTTAAGTGGAATGAACCTTAGGAATCCGACGATAAAATAACTGGTTAATTACTTGATTTGTTATCAAGCTTTATCAACATATTATCATGTACATTGTTTACTTATATTTTCATGATACCGATTGACTTTAACCGTTTTTATTATCAATTAACCTATAAAAGTAATAGGTTTCAGAATTATAAGTATTGAATATATATATATATATATATATATATATATATATCGATACATTTTGCGTGCAGATTGTTTGAGCCTTCATGTGGAGTTAAAGTATCGAGATCGATATAATAAAGTATTCATACATATATAAAAGATTATGATATTATCATTATACCGGTATAATTTTACCATGTACCTTGTAAATTTAACTATTACTTATACAAAGTATGGGTTATCAGAATGTTAGATTTACACATAAAGACATCTACAATGCACTTGAAAGATGTAAAGCAAAGGAAATCATCAATGGGGTGTCAATGCACTAATTGCTTACTTTTAACAGGTACTTGGAGTATCGATACTTAGACCTTTCCATATGTTCCCTTGTATCGTGTACTTGAATCTTTACAAACATTCTATAGAATAGAGTCTCCCGTAAATCGTGGCCGAAATCAGTTCTATAGTTGGGATTATCTAGGTTAATAATGTCGACTTCATAGCCAATAAAACCCCTTGTAGGGTCCAAATGGTAAGCTAGGAATTGGTAAGACAAGCTTCCTTTGAGGGTTTAGGTTTAGGGACTGAACCCATCCCACGTAAGGAGTGCATGATTGAACATTACATATAATAGTTGTATTCAGTTCTTGAAGAATTGTTCTTCATTGTATATAAGGATAGTTGTAATGATATTCGTTTACGTTTCGAAACCAATTAGTTAGATGCATGCAGTACCCTATATCCTCGAGGAAGAGGACAAGAAATCTGACACTTAAAGATTTACCAAGAGCGGTAGCTTCTGCTCTGTATGAAGACCGAACCTAGAATCAACATCGCTATTATTCATTATGTCTATAATGCTCAAGAGAACCTGCTGAGTGAAGGTATTTGCACACAACCGCCAGTATTTTATGGTAAACCCCAAGTATGGGTTACCCATACATCTCTGTTGCAGAATTTTAGCGAAGTAGTTGGGGTTTCCAATAAAATGCTCGCAATTGTGTACAAATCCTATCATTCAACAGGTTCTCTTCAGTAGTATAGGCATAATGGAAAAGTTGATTCTTGGTTTGGTATTCATGCAGAGCAGAAGCTACCGCTCTTGTTAAATCTTTAAGTGTCATATTTCTTGTACTCTACCTCTAGGATATAGGGTATTGCATGCATTCCACTAATTGGTTTTGGAATGTGAACAGATATCATTACAACTATCCTTATATACATTGAAGAACAATTCTTCAAGAACTGAATACAACTATATTATATGTAATGTTCAATCGTGTACTCCTTACATGGGAGGGGTTCAGTCCCTAAACCTAAACCCTCAAAGAAAGATTGTCTTACTAATTCTTAGCTTACCATTTGGACCCTACAAGGGGGTTTTATTGGCTATGCAGTCAACATTATCCTTTGGCATTTAGTCAGACTGTAGATATTTGAAATTTGTAATCAATTAGAAGTTCTTAAATACATTAATCCAATTACCATTTCAAGAACAATTACAGGAATACATTGACACTTATTGGAAGTACATATATCCACACAGTGGTTACTTTTGATTGTCTTCAATGTTGATACAATGGGGCTCCATTTGAAGGGCATCATCTTCGCGAACAAAGATTGAACTTTCAACCTATAATAGCTCCATTTCAAGGTCATCATCTTCTCGAAGAAATGCTAATTTAATTCGAAAACAACAAACTCAAAAACATAACCACTATTTCTGAAGACTACAATAATAAAAAAAATTAGGGTTTCAAAAACATACATTTCAATTCGATTGCATCAACAAACAAACAACTATGCTTCCAAAAATGCACTACCACTATTTAGAACAACTAACTTCCCTCTAAAACTACAGTCGTCTTCTATATATTTCTCTGGATTAGGGTTTCCTTTGTAACCTGATATGTTATTTATATTGAATACTCTTACCAAAGTATCGATACTTTTGTGTACGGTATCGATACTTTCGAGACGTTTTATTTTAAAAAAAAATTGGTAGCGATTTACCGGTTACATTGTATATTGGAACTGGTTTTATCAATTTTTAACCTTTTATATCATCATGTATCGATACATATATCATAGGTATCGATACTTCCTAAGTGCATCTAATTTTGGGAAGCATACTGGACAAAAAGTATCGATACATATACCAAAAGTATCGATACTTTATATAAACATATTTTACAATTAAACCAGTATATTTTTACAGCTTACGTTGTATATTTACCTATTACTTTAAAGTAATAGGTTTCGAAGTTTTAAGAGTCGATATTTTTCATACGTGTATCGATACTTTATAGGCGCAATTATGGAAACCGATTTTCTCAGTTTTTTACCTGTTATGTTATTTTAAAATCGATACCATTACCCTTACATAAGTATTGATACTTTTATGTATGGTATCGATACTTTCAAGACGTTTCATTTTTTTTCAAGACGTTTCATTTTTTTCAAAACCGATAGCTATTTACTATTTTTGTTATATTGAAACTGGTTTTATCAATTTTTAACGTTTTATATTGTCTTGCATCGATACATATGTCATAGGTATCGATACTTCCTACCTGTGCATCTAGTTTTGGGAAGCATACTGGACAAAAAGTATCGATACATATACCAAAATTATCGATACTTTATATTAAAGTATTTTACCATTAAACCAATATATTTTTACAGCTTACATTGTATATTTACCCATTACTTTAAAGTAATCGGTTTCGAAGTTTTAAGAATCGATACTTTTCATACGTGTACTGATACTTTATAGGCGCAGTTATGGAAACCTATTTTGTCAATTTTTTACCTGTTAAGTTATTTATATTGAAACCGGTTTTGTCAATTTTCAACCATTTATATTGTCATGTATCGATACATGTTTCTTAGGTACCGATACTTAATAGGCGCAATTATAGAAACTGGTTGTGTCCATTTTCAATCTGTTATATTTAATCGATGTTTAAAATTTTTTTTGTTTTCTCAAATTTTAACCGGTTTAAAAATTCTATGTATGCAAACTTTGTTGTCGAGATTATAAAAAATGATACATTAATAATGTGTATGATACATTTGTAGACAAATATAAAATACATTAATAACTAATATTGATATTTCAACAATCCTCAAATATAAAATCCTAGCCAATCAACTAACAATGCTTCGGATATCAAATGTCGTTATATAATCGAAGCAATCAACCTAAATGAAATGCGAGGGAAATCCTGACCATCATAATTTTGAGTAACAAGCAGAAAGATTGGATATGCGAAGAATGCCTCCCGGATAGTATCCATTTCATTCAGCTTACGAAGATAGGAGAATCGTAAACTGAAACCGTCTAAGAGAAACATAGCTAATGTATAAGCAAATGTATATTTAAAATCTCGAAGGCGATCCATTTGGTTCTATAATATTTAAAGCATTAGAAGCATATCGGACTTATGATTTGGGTGCTACACGGGAAATGCAACATAATGCAACCAAAAATTCTCGAAAACTAAACGCTAGATCTTTTAATAAT